GTCAAAAATACATTTTATGGGTCCAAAAAAATATTTTTCTTTTATAGCCAAATATACACTGTATAGCTCAAAATCATTGAGTTTTCTTTTTTTTTTTTTTTGCCAAAAATACAGTGTGTTGCTCAAAAATACTTAATTTTCTGTCGTAGCTAAAATTATAGTGTGTGGGTCAAAAATATTGAATTTATTTTATAGTCAAAAATTCATTGTATGGGTCAAAAAAAATCTTTTTCTTTTATAGCCAAAAAAACTATTGTCAAAATTATAGTAAAATTAGTTTTATAGCCAAAAAATGCATTGTATTGGTCAAAAATGAAGATTTTATTTTATAGCCAAAAATAGATTGTATGGGTCAAACATATGGATTTTTTATAGCCAAAAATGTTTTGTATGGGTCAGAAAATATTGATGTTTCCTTAATAGGAATATAAAAATACTTAATTTTCTGTATTAGCCAAAATTAAAGTGTGTGGGTCAAAAATATAGCATTTATTTTATAGTCAAAAAATACATTGTGTGGGTCAAAAATACAGATTTTTTTATTTGTATCCAAATAAACAATGTATGGGTCAATTAAAAAAAAACAATTATAGCCAAAAATACATTATATGGGTCAAAAATTTTTCTTTTAGAGTCATGAATATATCAAAAATATAGATGTATTATTTATTGAAAACAGTCATGGTGGACAGCTGCTTCTCACTCAAGGCTGTCTATGCTAATGAGGGAGAGATGTGGGCGGGGTCTCCTCCCTCTGATGACACGTACAAAGGAAGAATGTCAATCAAAGTGTCTCTGCAGACTGTTTTTAATCAAGTGTGATAATAAATAATACAATTAATGCATTTTCACCGTTAGAAACTGGTTATAATTCACACACTGCTGCCACACAGCTGTGTTTAAAAGATTAAAATCCTTATAAAAGCTATTTTTGCATAATAGGTCCACCTTAAAGTAAGATTGTTACAATGTTAGTTCTAGCGAGAGCATCCCCCATCCGGACACTTGTATTTGAATGTCTTCTGGGTTGATTCTGAACCTATTATTCTTCTGTGCAGCCGCAGACATCGGCGTGGGCATCAGTGGTCAGGAAGGCATGCAGGCGGTGATGTCCAGCGATTACGCCTTCGCTCAATTCTGCTTCCTGCAGCGCCTCCTGCTGGTGCACGGCCGCTGGTCCTACATCCGCATGTGCAAGTTCCTGCGCTACTTCTTCTACAAGAACTTCGCCTTCACGCTCGTCCACTTCTGGTTCTCCTTCTTCAACGGCTTCTCCGCGCAGGTCAGAAAACCACACCTACACTCACAGATCATGCGTTTGTGCAATGCAGTACAGTAATCATATGGTTAGACAAAATTTAAAGGGATAGTACATACAAAACTGAACTCTAAGAGCAGTATATGAAGTTAATTGAAGCAGATTAAAGTGAATGCTGAGGTGTTGTTGTGTTTCAGACAGCGTATGAAGACTGGTTCATCACTCTATATAACGTCTGCTACAGCAGTTTACCGGTTCTCCTCGTCGGCCTTCTGGATCAGGTATCATTAACACACAATAACAATATAGTAATATTATCTTCTCCCATAATAAAAATAAGAGAATTCAGCTCATCACTGCAGACTCGAACAAATGGCATAATGCAGGAAAACACTCACTAACTAACTGTTAAATAGGTTTCGTTTTAAGTATTAGGTCTAATAGTATAGAGAAATGTGTCTTTTCCCTGTTAAGCATCACTCGTGCATTATTTTAAAAGATGGATAGATAAAAGATTTTATCTGCAACTTAATGTTTTTTTTTTTAAAGAAGTTTATTGAGAGCCAAATACGCTAAGGCACTAAAATTCAAAGTTTGCATGAACTAGAAGCTGCGTCTGTATTTTTGTAGTATGATGCAGTTCACAAAGAAACTAGAACAGGGGTAGGGAACCTGTGGCTTGGGAGCCACATGTGGCTCTTTGACCAAAAATATGTGGCTCTCCAGTTGTCTCTCTTCAATAATATAAAAAAAAAATGTAACTGTTACTAGAAATCAGTTTCCTATTAAAAATACAATTACAATTTCCTTTATATTGTATTTTCTAAAGAAAAATGAATAAGATCTTGGTTTACAATAAAAGGACGTTTCAACCAATGCGCATATGTGGTGTTGTGGTTTAACTTGAATTGTGACAACAATAAAGGGCAAGTTATATTTCTTACATTTCTATGGTGACCTCATGCACATAAATTCAAACATTCATGAGTGACGTTGGTAAAAAGAAAAAAAATCTATAAATTTTCCTTTCTTCATACATTGTATTGTGTCATATTTGTTTATTTTTGAGTTGTCCATGGACATAAATAAAGATTTTGTGTATAAATATATAAAGGTTTTGTTATATACAGAGAGACCATATGGCTCTTTAAAAAATGCATTTGATAAAAAAAAATCTGAAATGGCTCTTTGCTGAAAAAAGGTTCCTGACCCCTGAACTAGAACCTAAAGTTTATTGATAAACTTTGATGTTGGGTTGAGAAAGCCAACGTGACTGCGCTAGGACTGGGAATGGCAGTTGGCAGGAAGTACGGCGTTGGTTGCTAAGTGGTTGCTAGGCAGTTGCTAAACAATTATGGCATTGTTAGGTGGTTGCTAAGCAGTTGCTAAATGGCAATGCTCGTGTACATGTTTCATCAAATGCTAATACTTAGTAGGCGTTTCTTGCATATGTTATTGCATTTAGATAATCATTCATAGCATGTAGCGAATCGTTATTAGCACTTGGCTTCCATTATCATTGTTACCATGCATAGTACACAGGAAGTCCCATTTGCTAGCATGAGTCAAACAAGCCAATGCCCAGGTCCCTACGACATTCTGATGTAGAGATATTGCTATTTTTAAATGGTTGCTAGGTTATACTGTTTTATTGCTATGGGGACATTTGACAGGTTAGTGATGATACATCAAAGCTTCTTGGCAATATGAGTGATCTTAATCAACCCCAATGTTTCTATGACAGTCTTTATGAGTGTCAAAACTGGACTTGAACATTATGTATTCCTGGTGTTGGGTTGCGGCTGGAAGGGCATTCGCTGTGTAAAACAGATGCTGGATAAGTTGGCGGTTCATTCCGTTGTGGCGACCCCTGATTAATAAAGGGATGAAGGGAATGAACATTATGTAAAAATGGCTTGCCGTATTTTTTTGAAAATACAATGCTTAAGTGTGAAAGGGATTCATGCAAAAATGGCTTGCCATATCAGTAAAAAAATATGGAGTTTAAGTCAAAAATGGCTTGCCATATTCTAAGAAAAATAATGCTTAAAAATTATTTATTGGAAAACTATAAGTCTGATAAACGTTAAAGATATAGCAACAAAACCTAACGCATCTAAATACAGCTTTTGGACAAATTTGGGGCTTGTATAATTTTTTTATATGCCCGGATTATAAAATTTAATATTTAACATTTTTTATTAAAAAAACGATAAGTCTTATAGGCATGAGGAGATATAGCAACAATCTTGAATGTAGAAAGCACATTTTGACCACATTTGGGCCTTGTGGCATGAACGGCCTAGGAGGAGATACGTTTGTTTTCAAGGACAGAGTAGTATAACAGTATGTTGGCTTTCTCAAGCCAACCTAATTAAATGAGACAACAGTGGACATGGCTTGTTTTTTCTACTGCGAGCTGATTGGGTGTAGTGAAGTACACTCTAAAAAATATTGTTAAGACAGAACTAAAAAAATTAACGCAACAGTTTGCATTGATATATTCAAGTTACGACAATATCTAACAAAATGAGGTTCAGACAACAAACTTTATTATGTTAGCCAAATCTTTTCCTCCTCAATCAGAGGCATTCACATAGCAAAAAAACTCAGATTTTTAAGTCGAGTACTCAAAGTTAGTTGTTTCAATCATTCATTCATTCATCTTGTCGGCTTAGTCCCTTTATTAATCCGGGGTCACCACAGCGGAATGAACCGCCAACTTATCCAGCAAGTTTTACGCAGCGGATGCCCTTCCAGCCGCAACCCATCTCTGGGAAACATCCACACACACATTCACACACACACACACACTCATACGCATACACTGCGGACAATTTAGCCTACCCAATTCCACGGATTCCGCCATTTTGAAGTGAAAGTGCTCGGCTGTCCATTGGATCTCATTACTGTCGCGATGGCAAGCAGCTGCTTTGTTTTTTATTTATTTAGTTAAAAAGCACATTAAGGCCAAGGTACATTCTTAAAGATGACAATACAACATTTGTTATCTTAATCATCAGCACTTTTAATAGTTTATTTTACAGACTTATAATATGCTGTTGTTCTATTGGAGTTTTCATTCCATAATGGCCGCCTCTAGTGGCTGTTTCCCAAATTACACTAGAGTGTCTCCTCTTGGTCATTCTAAGCTCTTTGCTTTCAATTAGCTGCAATTTTTTAAATTGATTTAATTATAAATATTTTTCTGTTTTTGAAAACTTAAAGTTATTCTTGCTACTTAAATTTAATCTAATCAGCATTTTAGAATTTTTAAGTTACAATAATGTAATAACCTATGTAGTGGTAACAGACCTCTTGAGTTATTTTTTAGTAGGCATTTCACTCAGAAATATGGGAAAAAGGGTTTAGGGAGAGTTATTACAACCTAACAGACTCCTCCTTACCATTTCTGTTTGTTGTCAAAACGGACAGCTGAAGGGGTGTGGTTAAGTATCTTAGCCACGCCCAATGCCTCAGAGAGACCTTATCTGAGCATTGAACTGAAGACAAACTAAAAGTGCATTTTCAGATTTCAATTACAAGGGCAAACATTTTTTTTTTCTCTCAATGACATGCACAGATGAATTGATCACCACAAAACTAGCAATTTGAGCTCACAAAATCAATATGGTTAAATTTGAATTCATGTGTACTTTAAGCTATATGAAAGAGATGTGAATTCTCTTCACTTTCCTGCTAGACGTTTCTCCTCTTCAAAGCTCTTCTTCTCTTGTGCAGGATGTAAATGATAAGCTGAGTCTGCGCTTCCCGAAGCTTTATCTTCCGGGTCAGCAGGGGGCGCTCTTCAACTACAGGAACTTCTTCATCAGCTTGTTCCACGGCATCTTCACGTCACTCATGATCTTCTTCATCCCGTACGGAGCTTTCCTGCAGACCATGGGCCAAGACGGAGAGGCTCCATCAGACTACCAGTCCTTCGCTGTGGTCGCAGCTTCATCGCTCATCATCACCGTCAACCTGCAGGTGCCTGAACACACACTCACACTCACTTGTTCATCCAAAATACGGATGATACAAAATTAACTCGAGTTTGATAAATGGCATCTAAAACGTGTGTTTGGGAAAGAAAACATTAGCTAACTAGTGCCATTTCCCTTAACTTAGCTGAAACTGAGCTCTGATATCCCTTTTTATATTCACCATTCATTCAGAACAGACCTTCGGGTCACTGGGAAGGCGGTGAAATGATAAATTTGTGTCACTTTATCTTCACTGATAAGATATACAGCCAGTTACACAATATACCTATGTAACTCCCAATGATGCTTCCGGGTTTCTTCCCACCGCAGCCTGGATTTTGCTTTTGAAAATAGCGGCCGTGTGAAATCAGTCTATGGAACAAATGACTAAATGTAAATGTTCCCAGATGACATATAACGGTTGCCAAATTATAGAAATAAAAGACCAAACTACCAAATGGTTTTAATTCAATTCAAGTTGACTTGTAAAGTGTAGCGCTTTTGTTTGTATGGGCTCTATTTTGACGGTCCATGCGCAGAGCGCAAAACACAGGGCGCAAACGCTTTCTGGGCGTGTCAGAACGCATTTTTGCTAATTTAAGGACGGGAAAATCCACTTTGCGCCATGGCGCATGGTCTAAAAGAGTTGATTTTACTTTCTAAATGAGTTATAGGTGTGTTTTCCTCATCTCCCATTCCCTTTAAGAGCCAGCTGCATCGCTCCATAAGCGCATTTTGACATAAAAGTAAGTTCACTTTCGCTTTTGCTCTCGTGGATAGGGAAACCTTTACGCACAGGCATCAATTAGTCTATAAATAATTTCGTTTGTTAAGCGCAAATATTTGTTTTAAAACTATTTCTAAATTCAGTTCTAATTTCCAGCAAACGAATAAATGAACAATAATAACAAAATGTGCTCAAAAACCTGAGTTATATCCTAAAACATGCTGTGCCCCATATGGTCTAAAACCTGACAGGTGGACAAATCTAAGCTTGTTTTTAATAAAACAAATATAAATATGGATATAATAAATAATACTGCTAATAATAATTACATTATACAAAAGCACATTAAATGAACTAAAAAAGCCTCCCGAGATGAAGAAAGTAAGGCAGTGGTTTTTAAATCTTCATGTAGGCTAGAAATTAATATGTTTTGTAATATTTTTATCATTTATATTTATATTCTATATATATCCTTATTATATATATATATATATATATATATATATATATATATATATATATATATATATATATATATATATATATATATATATATATATCCTTAAGATATTGTATATTTTTCATATATAAAGATATTTGCATATTGCTTTACATCTTGTGTGTAGTGTGTAAGCCAGGTGCACTTTGCGCCAGACAATAGACCGACTTTGTTCTGGTCTAAAGAACAGACTATTTACAGTTTCTCAAAATAGCAACGCGCCAAAACATGCCTGCTTTTTTAGACCAGAACACCTATGGGCGCACATTTGAGCGCAAATGCATTTGCTATTTAAACAGTGTGGCGCAACGCCTCAAAATGACCCTTGCGCTGAGCTGAAAGTAGCAAAAGACTATTGCGCCTTGCGCCACATTGCGCCGTGTGTATGATAGGGCCCTAAACCTGTAAAATATATACAGTTATTGTAATTCTCTACTTTGTTTGTGAGTAGTGTCTTTGTTTTGTTCAGTAGTGAAGTAAAAACACTGATAGAAACTCTAGTGTTGATGTAATGTCGTGTGTTTTTTTTTTCTTGACCTCCGCAGATATCTTTGAACACCTCATACTGGACTTTTGTCAACTTTTTTGCGGTTCTCGGCAGCATCGCTCTGTACTTCGGCATCATGTTTGACATCCACAGTGCAGGAATCCACGTCATTTTCCCAAACACCTTCACTTTCACAGGTGCGCAATAATACATTCATGTTTTTCTTTTTGTTTTTCTTGCAATTCAACTTTTTTATTCTGAATGCATATACAGTTGACGTCAGAATTATTAGTATATTAATATATTTTTTCCCAAATTTCTGTTTGATGGAAAGAAGATTTTTTTCAACACATTTCTAATCATAATAGTTTAAATAACTCATCTCTAATAACTGATTGATTTTATCTTTGCCATGATGACAGTAAATAATATTTGACTAGATATTTCAGGACACTAGTATTCAGCTTAAAGTAACATTTAAAGGCTTAATTAGGTTAAATTAATTAGGCAAGTCATTGTATAACAGTGGTTAGTTCTGTAGACAATCGAAAACAAATATTGCTTAAGGGGGCTATTAATATTGACCTTAAAATGGCTTTAAAAAATTAAAAACTGCTTTTATTCTAGCCAAAATAAAACAAATAAGACTTTCTCCAGAAGAAAAAATATTATCAGACATACTGTGAAAATTTCCTTGCTCTGTTAAACATCATTTGGGAAATATTTTAAAAACAAATGAAAGCTTTAAATTATTAATCCAGTGTTCACTAGTAAATATTTATAATGTAATATTAGTATGGTTTTCCAGTACTGGGTTGCAGCTGGAGGGGCATTCTATGTGTAAAACACATGCTGGAATAGTTGCCGGTTCATTTTGCTGTGGCGACCCCTGATAAATCAGGGACTAAACTGAAGAAAAATGAATGAATGAATATTAGTTTAATCCACTGTTTTATAGTATATATTGAATAACACTGAAATGCCAGGTTTATTCTGTACACTGCCATGTGATACTGGTGATATTCCAGCCCAGCGGTTCAGTGTGTTAATATTCTGCTTGTTGTTTTGTCATGCAGGCGCTGCATCTAATGCTCTGCGACAGCCGTATCTGTGGCTCACTATCATTTTGACTGTGGGAGTCTGTCTACTTCCTGTCATCTGCATCCAGTTCCTCTATCAAACCATCTACCCTTCAGTCGGAGACAAGGTGAGATCCTAAAGTACACAAGTTCAAGCTGCATGACATTATTTACAGCAGTGATCCCCAGCCTTTTTATCACTAAGGACTGGTCAGCGCTTGACAATTTTACCGCGGACTAGGGGATGGGGGCGGTGGTTCGTGGTTGCTAGGCAACCATCAATCGTTTTCTCAGAGGATGACAAGCTGACAAAACATTGCTGTCACTCTGAAACAAGTTCTATTTATGGAGAAAATTACAAAGCACTGCAGTGTTTGTGTGTTTGTCTGAATTAAACCGAAATGTGTATTTTCCATACAAGCTGAAGCTGATCAGTTAGTTCTTGGCACATGACCCGCTGTGCGCTGCCGGGAATCCATTCAACTAGGTGCATCTTGAAGGCATGAGCACGTCACGCTGCTTGCGTGCACAAGCCTCACACCTCCATTGGAAATAACAAACTTTCGCGAACTCTAGAAAAGACACGATATGCGAATGGCCCCTTTTCCACTGAGTGGGATGGCATGGTTCGGTTTGGTACACTTTTTTGGCCGTTTATACTGTCAAAAAGCGTACTGAACCCCTTTTTTGGCACCCTTTTGAAAGGGGACCAAAAGGTGGAGCTAGACGCACAGCTGAACGCTATTGGCTTACCGGGATGCATCATTCGCTTAAGCAACAAGCCAGAATGTAAACAAAAGAGCCGCCCGCCATGTTTGAAATACACAGCAGGAGATTACAGCGGAATTAAATATACATATAATAACGAGCCATGGTCGATACGGGCTCAAACAAACCTTGTCGTCGTCTTGAGAAATGTCGTCACTTGCGATCTCCATCAGTTGATCTTTTTGCACAGATATGCTGGATTCACCTGATTTGTTGACAAATGGGTTGCGGATTCATTCCTTGGCAATTTGTAGCAAAGAAACTTCCCAATGACGTCTGTTTCTTACTCATTTTGCTGCTTGTGGGGTAAATCTGGGCACTCAAGTGACTGAGATGTAAGCAAGAGAATAAGGTCATTTTTCTAAAGAAAAGACTTTTCAAAATAAAAGATCATTTAGACTCAGCTTATAAATAAAACAGAAATAATTAATGATTTCTTGTGCGGTGTGGTACTAACTGATCCACTGACTGGTACCGGTTCGCGGCCGGGGGGTTTACTATGTATAAAATATGTAATATATTTACCAGTGCTGGGCAAAGATTAATCACGCTCAATCGCATCCAAAATAAAAGTTTGTTTCGACATACGGTGTGTGTTTTATATATATTTATTAGGTATATGTAGGCCCACACGGAATCTGCGTGTGCAGAAATCTGCAGATTTCCATATGTATTTACTTGTGTAATCGTGTAAATTTATATTTATAAAGTTTTTAAATTAATTTAACTAATATTATTGTGATATAATAATAACAAGATTAAAATGTTTATATGATTTATTTATAATTATTTATAATTCAGTTTGTAAAGTCATATGTTCTGTCATTTAGTTGAGATATTATATGAGAGACTTGATTTGTTTACCAATTAAGTGGATCTCATCGGATTTGCATTGCAAACATTAAAAAAAAAAAAGAAATGTCATAAATAAGTTTTTTTGTTATGATACTTTTAAAATCATTCCGCATAAACCATTGATTTAAATTTTTTTTTTTACAAAACTCTCTGCAGAAAAAGCAAAAAATGATTCTTTCCGGTCCTAGGTATATGTAATACAAACACATAAAAAATCCACATGTACCAAAAGCTGCGACCATTATATATATTTAGTGATGCAGTTACTATGGGAAACAGAATATTAAATGAGACAACAGAGGGCGTGGCTTGTTTTTCTGATTGGATGCAGTAAAGTAGGCATTTCATTCTAAAAGATAGGGAAAAAGGGGAGAGTTATTACAACCTAACAGACTCCTCCTCCTCACCTTTTCTGTTTGTTGTCAGCACTGACAGCTGGAGAGGCATAGTTAAGTACGTTAAAGTGCTTTCACATCTGAAGTTCAGTTCATTTGGTCTTGAGCAAGGGCAATAAATTATATAATGTTGCATTTTCTACCTTCTTTGGGTCTTTTTCACACCACACTGATTGCTTTGGTCTGAACCAGTTGAAAAGAACCAAAATGCAGTCATCTGACAAAATCCACATCTGTCATTGGCCAGATGTTGTTGAACATCGTTCCTAAACTGCTTATTGATTGGTCAGAATTCACGTGCGGGAAAATGCCAGTGAACTCCTGCAAGTAAACAAACCGGCAGACACAAAATGTGGCTTTTTTACTTTGGAGGGACGACTGCGCTGACTGATTTTATCCCTGCTTTAGACAAACTATACATTTCGAGAATGAAGAGCAGCCACGGCTGGAAAACAGTGTTTTAATGCATCGCTCGTCACTTCAGGAAGAGGCGTGAATTAAATTAGCTAAACTGCGACATGGGCATCTTGCGGAAATATTACCAACGATCCATCAGCTAATGTTTTCCTCTCTCTTTCTGTTGGTAAAGCGCTGTCAACAAATATTTTTCCTCCACATCCCATAATGCACAGCGCATTGGCCTACGGCAATTGGATTAGTCCAAAAGGCGCAGTACTTTTCGCTTGTACTGCGCCTGGGAGATTGGGTCTGTTTTAGTACGGATCATATTCTCACCACAAACGAACCGCTCCAGGGTTCATTTGAAAGCGGACCAAGACCACCTCTTCAAGCAGGTCTCGGTACGATTATTTGGTCTGCTTTTGGTGCGCACTCGAGTACGATTGCTGCATTCACACCTGCCCAAACGAACCGCACCAAAAGGGGAAACAAACTCTAGTGCGATTCAATTGAACTAAATAAGGCAGATGTGAAAGCACCCTTAGATTAGGTACAGACCTAATCTGAGAATTTAACTGAAAACAAACAGGAAGTGCATTTGTAGATTTCAATGAAAGATTAGAAGGGCAAACCATAATTATTTACACAATGACATGCACAGATGAATTATTCGGCACAAAACTAGCAATGTGAGCTCACAAAATCAATATGGTTAGATTTGATTTCATGTGCACTTTAAACTCGTCCTAACAGTCAGTGAAAAGGCTCCATACACAGAACTAAGCTCACAGTGGGTTGTTTTCCTGCAGGTCCAGAGGAACAGGAAGAAATACGAGCTTGAGGATGAAGAAGACGAGAGGAAGAAGAGGAAGCCCACTTTCCAGCGCGGCGGACGCTCTCGTCGCTCTGCGTACGCCTTCTCGCACTCGCGCGGTTACGCAGACCTGATCGCGTCAGGACGCAGCATCAGGCAGCGGCCGCGGGTCCGACCCGAGCTAAGAGACAGCATTAGAGAAGTTCCTCACGCTGAAAACATCTGAAACTGTCACTAACACACACGCCGATCGTGCCTTTACACCCTCAGCACAGCCAATCAGAGGAGGCCATGTGTCATTTAGAGGGGCGGGACTAACCAATGAGCCAATGGGGAATGGGTAATGGGCTTAAAGGGGAAGTACTAGTAAACACTGAAGATCTGAGCTGGTTTTAACGGTGAGCACGGTGTACAACACAGCCTTCATCTCAGGTTCTGATTCTGTGTCTTTTATTTCTGAGTCATGTGTTTGTTTCCTTTTCTTTATTCAGAAAATTCCAATTTAATTCAATAGGGAGAGAAAGTGTGTGTGTGTGTGTGTGTGTGTGTGTGTGTGTGTGTGTGTTTAAATGTTTTTGTAATTTTACCTTCTATTGAATTGTAAAGTGTGTATGTTTGTGTGTGTTGTGTGTATGTAATTTCACCACCAAATTAAAATGTGTTGTGTATGTGTATGTTTGCGTGCGTGTTTGTGTGTGTGTGTGTGTGTGTGTGTGTGTGTGTGTGTGTGTGTGTCTGAATGTGTTTATAATCTCACAAACTACTAAAGTGTGTATGGGTGCCTGTATGTGTGTGTGTTTGTGTTTGTAATTCCATCAACAATTAAAATGTAAAGTGTGTGTGTGTGCGTGGGTGAGTGTGTGAGTGTGTGTGTGTCTGAATGTGTTTGTAATCTCACCAACAATTAAAATGTAAAGTGTGTGTGTGTGTGTGTGTGTGTGTGTGTGTGTGTGTGTGTGTGTGTGTGTGTGTGTGTGTGTGTGTGTGTGTGTGTGTGTGTGTGTTTGTGTGTGCGTGTGTGTGGGCGCGTGCGTCAGTGTGTGAGTTTGTGTGTGTGTGTCTGAATGTGTTTGTTATCTCACCAACAATTAAAATGTAAAGTGTGTGTGTGTATGTATGTATGTATGTATGTGTGTGTGTGTGTTGTAATCTCACCAACAGTGTGTGTGTGTGTGTGTGTGTGTGTGTGTGTGTGTGTGTGTGTGTGTGTGTGTCTGAATGTGTTTATAATCTCACAAACTACTAAAGTGTGTATGGGTGCCTGTATGTGTGTGTGTTTGTGTTTGTAATTCCATCAACAATTAAAATGTAAAGTGTGTGTGTGTGCGTGGGTGAGTGTGTGAGTGTGTGTGTGTCTGAATGTGTTTGTAATCTCACCAACAATTAAAATGTAAAGTGTGTGTGTGTGTGTGTGTGTGTGTGTGTGTGTGTGTGTGTGTGTGTGTGTGTGTGTGTGTGTGTGTGTGTGTGTGTGTGTGTGTGTGTGTGTGTGTGTGTGTGTTTGTGTGTGCGTGTGTGTGGGCGCGTGCGTGAGTGTGTGAGTTTGTGTGTGTGTGTCTGAATGTGTTTGTTATCTCACCAACAATTAAAATGTAAAGTGTGTGTGTGTATGTATGTATGTGTGTGTGTGTGTGTTTGTAATCTCACCAACAGTGTGTGTGTGTGTGTGTGTGTGTCTGTGTGTGTGTGTGTGTGTGTGTGTGTTTGTTATTCCACCCACAATTAAAATGTAAAGTGTATATGTTTGTGTGCGTGCGTGCATGTGTGTGTCTCTAAATGTGTTTGTAATCTCACCAACAAGTAAAGTGTGTATGTTTGCGTGTGTGTTTGTTTTGTGTGTGTGTGTGTGTGTGTGTGTGTCTGACTGAATGTGTTTCTAATTTCAACAACAATTAAAGTGTAAAGTGTGTATGTTTGCATGTATGTTTATGTCTGTGTGTGTTTGAATGTTTCTAATCTCACCAAATATTAAAATCTTCCTTATTTCTACACCGCAAAACATATTTTCCAAGTGTATTTAGTCTTGTTCCCACATTAGAAATAGCAAATCGTCCACATTTATAGATCTCTACATGTTCCCGTTCATGCCTAAAGTACAAAACACACAATTATATGATCAAATCCATCCTCAAAACCAAACAATTACCATTCAATATTCATTTACTCAAGTCATTTCACTTCAGGATGAAAAGAAATGCATATTTAATAACAAATATAAAAGAATTTGATATGTATTATGATGATATTCAATTCACAAATGCTTTTTGTCTTCAAGCAATAAGCCCCAAAATGTTCTCTTTTTTTATTTATGCATATAAATTTAAATATTTATATATGATAATTAATATAAACATATATAACACTCTGTAAAAATTGATATTCATCTCATTGGAGCATCCTGTTTACATACATTAATGGAAGAACAAGACAAATAATACTGATTGGGAAAATATTAGTTGCAGTGTAATGAAGGCTGTTGATGAGTTTCAGTTTTCTTAGTTATTTTCAATACGTGTCTGCATAAATGTGAACTCTATAAGGAATTATCATCTTGATTTCCATAATCTCCATATGTAAACCTCTTCTGCAGGAGTAGAAGGGCCGAACTTCCACAATCCTCACGGTTTCATTTTTTCAGGGTGTCGGTGTTTTCTTCCTGATGATATTCCTTATAAACCGTGAATGAATGAATGACTTTTAGAGTGGTGAAGCATCATGTTTACATTAATACTCATCTATCGCTCAGCTACCGCTCAGTTTTAATACATATTTCCCATAAATTCAGCTTAGAAGGGTTATGGATTATACTTTTAATGCACTCTCTGTGGTGTTTTCGTTCACTGAAAACTGGATTTACTACATTTCCTATGGGATAAGTGGTTGCAAACTGTGTATATAGGCTGGATTTAAAGGTAAACATTACTAAATTGACTTTATTTGATTAATTTCAGCCTATATAAATTGTTTGCAAGCACGTACCTCGAAAGAAATGTTGTAAATCCACTGAATGATAGTTTTCAGTGCTGTTGTTCTGTGAGTTTCTTTTATATTTGGGTCGTCTCGCCATCAGATACGGCTGAATCACGTTGAGTTTGTTTCATTCTCTCATCAAAATGACTTTGCACTTTGGTACAGGGATCTGGGAGGTGGACACCTTTCTTATTTTAACCCTAGTTACGTGAACGCTGTTACAACGTTTTTAAGAATCTACGATGTGATGATGAGAAACACTAAATTTATTCGGTTGATGTTCACCGAAAGGGCTTCATTCAGCCATATTAATGAGACAAATCTGCATTTACACAGCTCTGTGGATTGTCTGTCTGTAATGTACTGTAATATACTTTGCACAGATGTCTATAAATAAAGAATTAGATACAGAACGTTCGTTTTTGAGTCAATGTTTCATGGAGAAAAGTGTCTTAGTTTGATTTTAACTATAATTCGGGAGAGTAAATTACTTTCAGCAGGATGAAGCGTCATGTCATAAAGCCTGAATCATCTCAGACTCTTTTCTTAAACTTGACAATGAGTTCACTGTACTCAAATGGCCTCCACAGTCACCAGAGCTCAATCCAATAGAGCACCTTTGGGTTGGTGGAACAGGAGATTGGCATCATGGATGTGCAGCCGACAAATCTGCACCAACTGTGTGATGCTATCATGTCAATATGGAGCAAAATCTCTGAGGAATATTTCCAGTAGCTTGTTGAATCTACGCCATGAAGGATTTAGGCAGTTCTGAAGACAAAAGGGAGTTCAACCTGGTACTAGTAAAGTGTACCTAATAAAGTGGCCAGTTAGTAGGGGAGAGTGGGGGCTTTTGCAACAAGACTTATTCCTCCATTCAAGAAAGAGCTCGAGTGAGGATATTCATAATTCATCTTCTCAGTTAGACCCTCCTTCAATCTGAGAGAAATCAGCCATTTGTGAGCATTCCTTAAGTATAAAACTCATTTTGAAGTCATTTTGTAATGTTCAGAAAATGTCTAATACTGTCTAATCTGTTTTTGTGAAACATTATTTACTTGTAAAATATAAACATCTGTTTTCTTAGCTTTAAATAGGTTTAGCTATTAAGTGTTAAAGCTGTTTTACCTTCCTATAATCATGGTCAAAAATAAAAAAATGCTGTTCAGCTGTCCCAAATCACAAAATTCATTTATAAGCTTGTCTTATTAACAATCTACAACTTTAATTTGGTCACAGTTAAAATGTACTTTAATTTGAAAGAGTTAATTGTTTAATTTATTCATTCATTTCAAAGTTTAAAGAAATAGTTTAGTAAAGGGTGGATTAACGGAGAGAAGATATATTTTACAGCATAACAGTTTTAATAACTTGTTTCTAACATCTCATTTCTTTTCTTTGGTGACAGTTCATGACTGAAAATGTTACATGTGCATGCTGAAAGTTAACATTGTGCAGCCATAACTGCTGATCTAAATTAGGTGATGAAGAATGATCAAAATATATGAAGAGTTCATTTGCAGAAGTAGATGACTCCATTTCAGTGGTTTTCTGATCCCTTATTCGGGGAATTAAAGAGTACAATAACGGGAAAAACAAAACATGATTTATGGTAATTGCTGACGTTTTTATTTAGTAATTTTTAATTGAAATGTATATATCTATCCAACAACAATAATGACGCTAATAATATTACCTTGTCATAGTGACGGTATCATTTTGTTCAAAACAAAATACAAAATACTTTACTGCCACCTAGTGGAATAAAACAAAACCTTCAGAAAGAGCATGGACCAAACAGATCGCAACTACACAAATAAACTGCAGTGAACAAAAATATGCAATATCCTATATGCATCGTATAATTGGAAGTTTCCTTAATTAATAAAGCGACTAAGCCGAAAATAAAAATGAATGAATGAATGAATAAATATTATATTATATTAGGCTATGTTATTCATTCATTTTCCTTAGGCTTAGTTCTCTCTCTTTATTCCACAGCGGAATCAACCGCCAATAAACACCATAAACACTCACACGACCTATTTAGCTTACCCAAATTTCCCTATAGTGCATGTGTTTGGAAAAACAGAGCACCCGGAGGAAACCCACGCCAACACGGGGAGAACATGCAAACTCTACACAGAAATGCTTACCCAGTCGGGACTCGAACCAGCGACCTTCTTGCTGTGCGGCAACAGTGCTAACCCCTGAGCCACCGTGTCACGCTATATTGTATTGTATTATTCATTCATTCATTCATTTTCTATATTTTCTATTTGGGTTGGCCCCTCTATTAAGGGGGTCACCACAGTGGAGTGAACCGCCAACTTATCCAGCATATGTTTTACACAGTGAACAGTTTTATATTATATTATATTATATTATATTATATTATATTATATTATATTATATTATATTATATTATATATGTCTTTTTTTGTTAATTATTTGAAGATTTAATACATTTTAATATTTCTTACGTATTTTCAGCAGACCTCAATAAGTTATAAATATTTCCCAGAAGCGTATTTATAAACTTGAAACGTCAAGTTATTGAATATTAATAAGTTTGCACCTACCTTCTCACTTTAGCATAATCATTAATATTCAAGAGGCGGGTTTTCCATGTGATTGGCTCATTCTTCTGCGCGTGCTCGGCGAGGTGGGATGTCACGAGCGTCATTGGCGACGTGGAGACGTATACAGCACAGCAACTTACACTGTTAAACACACTTTACTGGATATTTAACATCACTACATACAACTCATTTACTCGTACTAGTCCGAAGATACAAAGGAGCCTGTGTTACGGAACGAGAGGGGCTTTTCTAAGGCGCTGTCAGCTCTGAAATTTAACAGGTAAGTTAATCTTGCCGCTAGCCTACTAGCATGTTAGCATGTAAGCTAACGCGTTTATAATGGGTTTCTCCATTCACTAGAGTCTGCAGGCTAATTTTTGCTAAGTGTGTTTCTGCTCCCTGGACACTTATTAACTTATACATAAACAGTGAAGCACCAAGATGTAGCCATATAAAATGAATATTTAACCACATTCTGGTATTTTCGTCTGCGTTGAGCGTAAAAGCCGTGAAGAGTGTTATTTGACAGAAAGACAACAGAGGAAAGCTAAATGTGTCAAAGTAAATGAATTAAATACTTACAGGAAGTTTTGAATTGTACATTATTGAGCAGTCTTAATTACAGCGTGTTAAATCATATGTAGTCTGTGTTGATTAGACTGCTGTTGTTTGGATAGTTCAGTAATAATGGCTATTGCAGTGTTTACATTACTCTCTGTACAACAGAAATACAGTCTAAACATTGGAAGATTATCAGAATTTGAATATGTAAATCATTTACCTGTATATTGTAAGTCGTTCATTAGTTGCTGTATTTACCTAAAATTACCTAAAATCACCTGTAATGTAGATAATTGCATTGCATTGAATATTGAAATAATTAGTATATTACTAATCAGTAATTAGTATTAGTATTTACACAGTATCTAACCTAATAATGAAATGAGAAGCCTTTTTCATAGGACGTTTACTAAAAATTAAACAAGAAACAAGAGATCATATTTGCATATAATATTTGCATGGATGTATGTTTATGTGTCAAAGATGAGAAGACTCGTATTCAGGGTTCACAAGGTGCTGGAAAAGTCATACATTTATGAAAAAGCATTTACCAGGCCTGGAAAAGTTTTGGAAAAACTAATAAAACAAAAATGTTTTGGAAAATGTTTGGATTTTGTAGAGGAGTGAATCTGGAATAATATATACACATTAATGACAAGGATAGATCAAATAAAATATAGTAAAGATAAAAGTGAATTATAGTTTTTAGTTATTCACTCCTCAGGTACAGATATTGAATAATCAACACTGCATAGTCTTCACTGTATATTTTGTTTAATCTTTATTAAAGTTACTAAACATTTCTTGTGGGCGAATGTTTTAAACTCTGAAATATTGAAGTGTACACAGTTACAGGCCTGAAAGGGACAGTTTACACAAAGATTAAAATGTACTCTTTATTTACTCACACTTCACTTGTTTAGATAGTGTAGGAGTTAGTAAATTATATTCTTTTTGTGTTCATAAAAAAAAAAAAAAGAATGTTTGAAACAAATGAAGGGTGTAATGAAAATGGTTAGTAATTTTTGGGTGAACTATCTCTTTAAAAATGCTTGCAGATGATAAACTTTTACTCCATTATGAATAAACTTTATATTAAATTGTAATGCCAACATTGCATATCCTGCGATGTGACTATTGCGGATGCAAACGTTGCGATCTCGATGCTGAAATTATATATTGTGCAGCCCTAACTTGAATGTAGGTTAGTTGTCTTCTCTTCTGTCCTTGGCCAAAAACATGCTCCCACATTATTAGTTCTGTGTAAACATTAGCAAAATCAATTTACATGGATATAAAAACAAATGTAAACAAAATAGATTGTTGCATGTTTTATGATATGCTGTAATAAATTTGAACATCATTGTTTTTCTTATTATTTACCATGTATACCTCACATGAAACGTTAAGTCATGAATATGTACTTGAAAGTTCTGGAAAAGTCATCAAATTTTAGTAGTAAAAATGTGTGTGTGAACACTGATTTGTGTACTTGAAAATGTTTGAGGTGAACTTGACTTCTACTTGACACTGTATTTGATGGATGAAGTAAAAGAAACGGCTAAAAAAGCAATAACTTCAAAAACTAATAGCAATTTTAGCTTCACCTCGCTTTCACTCGCTTTAATCGTAACTCAAGGGGCATTTTGAGTGTCGTGTCCAGAAATAATCTCTAACTGCAGAGGTACGACTGTGGGTGCTAAAGGCTAATTTGTACACTAAAGTCTTGTGAAAACACAAGCCAACATTTCTAAAACTGTCACGCAGACAGCAAGATACTTTCTAAAAACTATTTTACAGATATGAAAATAAATATAAACCACATGGATTGTCACATTTTTTGATATGCTGTAATAAATTTGAACGTGCATTTTTTTCTTATTTACCACATGTACGCAGACATTACATGAAACACGAAACAAGATCAGGAATGTTTACCGAAAAGTTTTGGAAAAGTCATGAAATTATATATACAGTAGTATAAATGTGTATAACCCCGGATATTGGTGTTTGCAAGTGTTTAATTGACAGTGTCTGCTATAATTTTACAGAACTTTTATAAAATAAAAAAGATTATTGTCCCATCAAATATTGTCCCATAATCATTTAGCATATTTATTTTGAATTAAATTATTTTATTATATTTAAGAGATCAAAATAGGTCATTGGTAGTGTTTTGAAGGATAGTGATGAAGTTTAAGCAATATTTAGTATTTTAAGGCAGCATTTGATCCTTAAATACATTCAGTCATTCATTTTCTTTTCGACTTAGTCCCTTTATTAATCTGCGGTCACCACAGCGGAATAAACCGCCAACTATTCTAGCATGTGTTTTACGCAGCGGATGCCCTTCCAGCTGCAACTCATAACTGGAAAACATTCATACACACTCATTCACACACATACACTGTGGACAATTTAGCTTTCCCAATTCACCTATAGCGCATGTCTTTGGACTTGTGGGGGAAGCACCCGGAGGAAACCCACGCCAACACGGGGAGAACATGCAAACTCCAAACAGAAATGCCAACTGACTTAGCCGTGGCTAGAACCAGAGACCTTCTTGTGGTGACTCGTGAGGTGATTGTGCTACCCACTGCGCCACCGTGATGCCTTCCTTCCTAAAAATATGTTACTAAATGGGTCATAGATATAAATATGACATGATTTTAGTGTATTAAGTATAGTATGGTAAAAGTATATTCTATTCATTTATTTGTTTATTATAAGTTCACAATATATATATATCAGGGCTCGAAATTAACCTTTTTGCTTGGTAGCACCGGTGCTCCTAACTTTAAAAATTTAGGCGCATCAACCAAAATTTAGTCGCACCCACCAATTAAGAGCACCGTTACTAAAAGTTTTATACAAACATATTGATTGTATTTGAAATCAACACTAATCAAACTAACAAGCAAAAAAATTATATATAACGTTATATGCAAGCGTGAGGAAAATATGTCTCAACAAAATCCCGTTATCACAAGAAAATAGATTTTTATAACAACTGAGTGACCAAAGCATACACGGAGCGCTCAGCGGCCCTGCACGCACTGCTTGAATTAACGTGTTAACGGTATAACTAGTAAGATGTGTCATTATTTGCAACTGTAGATGCCATGGTTTCTAAAACAAAATCTGTCAAGTGTTATGTTATCTTCATTCTCATCTTCAGCGCTTTACAATTTTTCGCGGTAGTAGCTCCCTGTCATCCGAAGCCAGAAGGCACTGAGTGATTGACAGCTGATATTAACCAATCATTCGCATTCAGTGCTAGAGCAGTGGGCCAATAAGAAGAGCGCAAAGGCGGGGCAAGCATTACGGACTTGGATTTGTTTACTGCAGCAAGTTGACATGACAACTGTTTTAAACCATTCCCGAGCGCTGCGTTTCAAGTGCAGACAAAAAGCTTAGAGATGCATTCTGCGTGAATGTCTCCCGAATTCGCGCATGTGCTGAACATTTTGCAGTAAAAATTGGTCGCACACTACAATTTTAAACACTTGCAGAAATGCTCCCAAATATATTTCAAGGTCGCATAGATAAAATTTCGGGCGCATATGCGACCAAAATGGTCGCAATTTCGAGCCCTGTATATATATATATATATATATATATATATATATATATATATATATATATATATATATATACATATATATATTTTATATATATATACTTTATATATAAAACATGTTTTTATGTATATAAATTGATAAAGATAGACAGATAATATATCTTTAACCTTATATATGCTTATAAAATATATAATAGGGGTGTAACAGTGCACATATTTATCCCGAACGGTCAGGATACAGGTGTCACAATTCGACTCATGTTCTCAGACAAATAATACTGATATTAATCTGTAGCTGATTGAGACAAAAGTCTTCTGCCTGTTCAGAGTAAACAGAACAGGATTTATTGCTTATTCCTGTTGTACCAAACCTGTATTGAACCCTGACCCAAAACTGAGGTGCATACTGAGCCATGATTTCTGTATACCATTATATACCTAATGTAATATATAATAATTAAAATATGTTTTAGACTGGTATACAGTGCTCCACACAGATAATATAACTAACATAACAATAATAGTATATCATTTCAGAATTGTAACTACATACGACAACTTGACATGCATTCAAAATTGGAATACGAATATGTGCAGTTAGAAAACATGATGATGGATTTTTTTTCTTCTTGGAGGCTTGTGTGTGTGGCATGCTTTCACCCGCAGGTGTAAATTGAGTTTCCTTGTAAGTCAAGAAAGTCATGATAAGATCCATTAGAACAGACTGAGTAAACCAGGATGTAGAAAACAGCAGCTTCTCAAGTCAGTTTCACAATCCACATGAGTGTGTGTGTGTGTAAAGGGTGTGTTCTTAACAGAAAGGGTGTGTGTTAGTTTCTGTGAGTTCTGTCTATCCATCAAAGACATTTCTTGTGTGTTTACTGGCATAGGGGCCATTTGCTCAATGTTTTCAAACTAAAATGTGACGATTTGTATGTGTTTTGCCTGTTCATTTACATGACAGGGGCATTTTAATGGCTGAAAGTGCAGAATCTGATGTAATCAACAGGATTCATTGCACGGTTAATGGTCCGAACGATTAGTACAGCCAAAAAGATGAAATAATTTTCAGCAGCCATAGTCAACAAAATATGCACATTTTGTCAGTTCTGTGCTATTGTTTACATTCTTTGCCTCCAATATGGCCGTATATATTTACTATATTTATTAAACAGTTTAACTATGTTGATTTTTTTAAAAGTGTGAAAACAAATTGTAAAAGGTAAATCAATATAAAATGATAGTCGGTACGGTGGCTCAGTGGTGAGCACTGTTGCCTCACAACAAGAAGGTCGCTGGTTCGAGTCCCGACTGGGCCAGTTGGCATTTCTGTGTGGAGTCTGCATGTTCTCCCTGTGTTGGTGTGGGTTTCCTCCGGGTGCTCCGGTTTCCCCCACAGTCCAAACACATGCGCTATAGGTGAACTGGGTTAACTAAATTGGCTGTAGTGTATGTGTGTGTGTGTGTGTGTGTGTGTGTGTGTGAATGAGTGAGATTTCCAGCACTCGGTTGTGGCTGAAAGGGCATCCCCTGAGTAAAACATATACTGGAATAGTTGGCGGTTCATTCCACTGTGATTACTCCCAATAAATAAGGGACTAAGCCGAAGGAAAATGAATGAATAAATTTAAAATGATGTTAAATTGTTGGTTATTTTGACGAATTTCAGCAACTCTAATCTATTGGTGGATCACATGTGAATGACATCTTGATCCCGCCCTCACACCAGTAAAAACCAATCAGGGAAAAGAACAGATGAGGAGGGGACTGGAAGTTATTTTGCTTAAAGATATCATGGACACATGAGTTTAAATAAAAATGTTAGTGGATTAAACCTTTTGTAATAGGGCTGCACAATATATCATTTGAGCATCGATGTCCCAGTGTGTGTATTCGCAATGGAGGATTAGATTGATTAATAGAGATTATAAGGTAAAGATATTATTAAATCCTGTGTGTGTGTGTGTGTGTGTGTGTGTGTGTGTGTGTGCTCGTGCATGCGTGCGTGCGTGCGTACGTGCGTGCGTGTGTGTGTGTATATATATATATATACATATACATACATACATACATACATACATACATACATACCTACATACAGAATTATTAGCCCCCCTGTTTATTTTTTCCCCAATTTCTGTTTAAAGAGAGATTTTTTTCAGCACATTTCTAATCATAATAGTTTTATTTACTTATTTCTAATAAATGATTTATTTTATCTTTGCCATGATGACAGTAAATAATATTTGACTAGATCTTTATCAAGACACTTCTATACAGCTTAAAGTGACATTTAAAGGCTTAAGTAGATTAATTAAATTAACGAGGCAGGTGAGGGTAATTAGGCAAATTATTCTATAACGATGGTTTGTTCTGTAGATTATCGAGAAAAAATACAGCTTAAAGGGGATAATAATTTTGTCCCTAAAATGGTTCATAAAAAATTAAAAACTGCTTTTATTTTAGCCGAAATAAAACAAATAAGACTTTCTCAAGAAGAAAAAATATTATCAGACATACTGTGAAAATTTCCTTGCTCTGTTAAACATCATTTGGGAAATATTTAAAAAAATAAAAAAAATAAAAGGGGGGCGAATAATTCTGACTTCAACTGTATATTTCATTAATTATAGAATGAAAACCATGTTATTTTACATTTGATTGTTCAATTTCTGTACTTAAATACTGTTACACTCCTAAGAAAACCATAAAGCACTGTTTATTTCACTTCTATTTATTTATTTTTTACATAATTTATTCTAATTTATGCAGACACACTCTTTAGAAAAAGACTGGGTCATTCCAGTTGATCTCAATTAATCAAATCTTCCCAATTAGAGCTATTGAAATCATCTGGTTAATTATTGCTGTATTCATATTGTAATATATATCACTTAAAACATGACAATGTCATGTTTTTCCAATATTGTGCTGCCCTAATTTATATTATGTAAATTAATTCAGTGAAAACATGTTGATTTGGTGTTGTTGTTAAAGCATGTGTCTCTGGTGCTGCCGCAGGTTTGTGTGCGTGGAGATGAGGCGTTAAGACCGTCTCTGGGGGATTCTGGGGCTGATGATGGGTGCAAACACCAGTCAGGTGAGCGACCTGTCGGAAAGCCAGAGCATCCGCACTCTGATTGGACCAGACGCCATTTCAGAGAACGAGCCCTTTTGGAACCAGCTGATCTCATTCACCTTCACAAGCCCCACCTGCAGGTGAGAGGAACATCAATGATGTGCTACAGTAAACCCTTTTCACAAGACTGTTATGATGCGTTTAACGGCAATTAGCATCAAATCCTTGAAAGTTTTTATGTTTAAAGGAGTGATTGAATTGGAGATTTGTTTGTTTTGCTCTTTGAGAAATTGCTCGAACACTTCTCTGTCAGAAACTGTGATAGTTATTTAACCCTTTGCGAGATTTCTATGAGTAAAGAAACAAAGACTTTTGATTTCTGTCATATATACAAATGTTACTTTAATTAAATACTATTTTATTTTCTTTATTTAATTTTATTAACCAGTTAAACTCTGCGTGCCTGGTACCGGGGACAAAATGAAGTCATCAGGCGAATAAATATAGATTTAAGAGGTCTGTCTGCATCAATAACACCATATGACCTACTGGGTGAAAGCTTAGAATGTCTATTTTCATCTGATTCACATCACTTTAATATTTGTTGTACTGAAACGAAGTTATTTACACTTTATTTACACTCGATGTATAATATCTCGACCCCCCCCCCCCCCCCCCAAAATTATGTACATTGTTCAGTATGCATATTTTTCACATCGCTAATATTAGACACATATTGGCAAGTAATACATCAAATCAAAGCTCTCATTCCCAATAATAAGGATCTATCGTTATTTTTATTGATTTACAATCACATATCCAACAGTCTTCAAATGAATCATAAAGGATAAACTCGTTTTTTGTAAAATTGATTATTTACTCCGTGAGCTGCCAGAGATAGCACAGATAGCCAAACAAGCTACATCATCTTTTACCTTAGGTTGTCCTCTGCAAAATGAGTTCATTTTCAGCGTGTTTGAGGAAGTGTGCATCAGTAAACCCCTGCTGTGTCTTGTAAGTGCCAAACGCAACAAATAAGGGTCATGATATTCCAAAATTCGGGAAAATATACCTATCCACATGTATCATATATCATTGAAAGGTGAGATTCTCGGCTTTACGCTGATGTATCGCGAGCCTTGATCAGCCAATCAGTGACTGAGATACTGAGTTTGCGTATTTAATAAACTATGACAGTTTGTGTTCACTGAACAGTAAGAATGATTAATAGATCCATATGAAACAGCCCCTTAAAAGTCACGTCTCACTTTCAGTTTAAGGCTTTGGCGCGTTTTGCACTCGCACTACAAGCGTAACGCGCCAAAGCCCAAGTGAACCGCGCTCAGGCACACCTCTTCCAACCGGGCCTGGGCCGGCCAAGTGAACCGTGCTTGAGCCCGATTCAGCGCACTCACACTTCTCAAACGATCCGGGAAACGGGCCTGGGCACGGTTCGGATAGCATAGTGTGAGTGCGCTGAATCGGGCTCAGGCACGGTTCACTTGGCCGGCCCAGCGCGGTTCACTTGGGCTTTGGCGCGGTACGCTTGTAGTGTGAGTGCAAAACGCGCCAAAGCCTGAAACTGAAAGCGAGACGTGACTTTTAAGGGACTGTTTCATATGGATTTATTAATCATTCTTACTGTTCAGTGAACGCAAACTGTCATAGTTTATTAAATACGCAAACTCCTCACTCACCTACCTATTCTTTCTAAGTGCTTTCTGGTGATGTATAAACATACTGTCATGAAAAACCTGGAATTTTGACATGCCATTTTCCAGGCCAAGTTTTGGAAAAACTGAAAAATCCACAAAGTTTTGGAAAAGTCATGGAGATTAGATTAACAAATATTTGTATATTTAAATATAGGTTAATTGTTATTGCTTCTTTTTCTGTCCATGGTCAAACACATATACTGTCACATTATTAGTGAGCATTATCTAAATCAGTGGTTCTCAAACTTTTTTCATTAAGTACCACCTCAGAAAAAAAAATGTCTCTCCATGTATCACCAAAATGAGCAGTATTGAAATACAGTAGCTTAGTAGGCCCAGTAAAGCAGCTACAACTCTGCACAGTTAAAAAAATGTGGCAGAAATATAGGCTATATGTCATATATGGCATATTATTAACATAACTTTTGGTAAATTTTGAAATGTGTGTAGCATGTACATGACATATTCCATTCCTCCGGTACCACAAGAAGGAAGCCCGCGTACCACTAGTGGTACACGTACCACAGTTTGAGAACCACTGATCTAAATCAATTTTACATAGATATAAAGATTCATTTAAACTAAATGTTGTATGTTTTATGACATGCTGTAATAACTTTGAAGATGCATAATTTTTCATACTATTTACCATGTATACATAGACATTACATGAAACATTAGGTCATGAAAATTTGCTTGAAAGTCCTGGAAAAGTCATTGAATAATAGTAGTAAAATGTGTATGACCCCTGATAAATCTCAGTGTCAAAAGATTTACCTTTATGAATGGTTTAATGATCGAGGGTCACATATAATATTTTCACGCTTATTTGAACACAAAGGTGTGAGTTTGGGTCACTTTTATAACAAGATTCACAATTTGTAATGACAGTCGATGAATCTGTTGTCAACAAAAATGTTTCCTGTAATTGCGTTTTACTTTTACTGTTCTCTTAAATAAATGTAAATAATTAAAGTAGTATTATTTATTGCTAAATTATCTTTTAATTATACAGCATTTTGCTTTATGGAATTAAATGTTATGACAATATACCAAGAATAATTATCATAAAAATATATAATGTAAATATTAATATTAAAATATGATATGTAATCTTAACTGTAGCATAATACATTATTAACAGAAGCTGGGAATGGCAGTGAAGCTAAATTAACATGTTTATCAATTTATAAATGAATCAAGCACTCCGACTCCCATGGCACTTGACATTTCTAGCAAAACAGCAAAGCAGAAAACACAAATACACAATGCTCCCTCACTGAAGATGACGTCTCTGCTGTGTGTTTATTTAGATAGTTGTAAAGTAGATGTCTCTTACTGTATTTTGTATGTTGTGTGTTTTCTGTCATATGTGGGGATTTTTCTGCTAATGCTTCGACTGAATGTGGATGTGGATTGATGTCATGAGCTCAAAGTGGATGTGTGTCAGTTAATCAGAGAAAGACACCAGAGGGAGCCAGAGAATCACCATTTCAACATCTTTTTGTGTAGAACAGTGGTAGGGAACCTATGGTTCGCGACCAAAAATATGTGGCTCTCCAGCTGAGAGGCAGTCTCTCCTTTCAATAATATTTTACAGTTTAAAAATGATAACTTTCACTACTTGCTATATGCTGTACAGTAGTAATATATGCATGCATGCATGTAGTAGTATTATATAGCCCAATGGCTCTTTAAAAAAATGGATTTGCCAAAAAAATCAGAAATGCCTCTTTGCTGAAAAAAAGGCTCCAGACCCCTTTTGTAGAATGTTCATTATGATCAGGGCAAGACTATTTCTGTGCAGAATTTTATAAAAAAATCTGCTGTTTTTATTTATATTTTGGGAGTATGGTAACTAAAACTTGAACTATGAAATAAAAAAGACCCCCCTTTTTAACTTTTATTTAAGTTTATTAATGCAAATCTAATTAAATCCATTTGCTGTTAAACAAAGCATGTGTCATATAATATACTCTCTCAAAAGATTTACACAATTGATTTGTTTTGGGACAATGTGACGCCCCTTTCATACGGGGCGTCAGCTTCAACGCTTCCCATTCACTTTGAATGGGTGACGTCAAGCGTAGCCGAACTGCATTTTGGATCCGTCGGTGCCACTTCAGAGGCGTTGCTTGCTGCAGAAGTTGTGACTTGTTCAACTTTTTAAGCGCCGACGATTGCGTCAGCCAATCAGATTGCTGTATGCAAATACACCGGCTCAGACAGTAGTCAAATGCTGACTAATTTCATTGGCTGACTCTGCTATGACGATCGTGTCAGCCCCAACTTCAAACATGCCCTTTGTCAAGCGTTGACGCTAAAGCTCCCTGTGAATGGGGCGTGAAAGAATTAAGTTAATTTATTAGTTTTTACAAATGAAAGTGAATTAAACAAAAAAATTGCCGAAAAAAACCCTAAAGATTTGTGTTTTTTCAGCTCATTTTAAATAAGTGGTTTAAACAGATGGTAAACTTCATAGATTACATTGACTTAAAGAAATAAAACAATACTTCACAAACTGTATTGTGGTTAAATCATATTAACATGTACAATTTGGTTCATTACATTTCTGAAGTTAAAATAAAAACTACATGAATATATATTTATACATGTTTAGTAAAGTAAATAAACAGATTCAATGATTGGCTAAAAATTTTGTGGAAATCTGCATATTTTTGCTTGTGCAGCAGATTCTGTTTGGCACTAATTATGACTTGGATAAGTTTTTCTGGATTAATCAGATATAGTTAACTTGCATTATATTGTGTTTTTCCTAAATGTGCTTCATACACACCTAAAGTCCAAAAGGTTCTGAAAAAGGAAACTTTCATGTGATTTTTTTTTTAATTTTTAATTTTTTTAAAATCAGATTCAGAAAGAGCTTTATTTCGAGTCTTACATTTTATTTCAATTTGTCTCAGTGTTGGGAGTTTCCAGTACAGAAAGCACAAAAATTATAAACATTTAGTGCAGACAAAAATAGAAAATAAAAACATAAATAACAATAATAATTTAAAAAAGACCCCGTCAAATTAATATGGGTTTTGAGGGTCTGAATTTGCAAAGTTGTATTAGCATACTAAATCTATGCATTTTTATAATTTTTTTTGTTTATTCTTCCTGGTCAAAACAGACATGAATGCAATGTGAGGGTTACAGGCATTTTAAAGGGGTTATTTTGGGGTTTCAATACAAATTCAGAGTAAAAAAAAAAACTATTAAAGGTGACATGGTGGCTCAGTGGTTAGCACTGTCATCTCGCAGCAAGAAGGTTGCTGGTTCAAGTCCCGGCTGGGTTAGTTGGCATTAATTTAGGGGTAGTTGCTGCCTAATAGTAAGGGAAATTGGACGTGTAATCCATAGGTTGCAGGTTCAATTTAAGTTAATAAAAAATGTTTTAAGTCAACTCTATGAAGTAGAAACCTTATAAAGTTGTGTTCAATTAAAATGAACTGTTTAAATAGGGTAGCACGGTGGCTCAGTGGTTAGCACTGTTGTCTCAAGGCAAGAAGGTCGCTGATTCAAGTCCAGGCATGCGCTTTAGGGGAATTGAAGAAACTAAATTGGCCGTAGTGTATGAGTGCGTGTGAATGAGTGTCTATGGATGATTCTCACTACTGGGTTGCAGCCGGAAGGGCATCTGCTGTGTAAAACATATGCTGGAATAGTTGGCGGTTAATTCCGCTGTGGAGACCCCTGATGAATAAAGGGACTAAGCTGAAGGATAATGAATGAGTGAATGAATTGTTTAAATAAAGAGCATCAGACAATAAGTTTTCAAGTGTATATGATCCTAATCTTCCTCTCTCTCTCTCTGTCTCTCTCTCTCTCTCTGTCTCTGTGTGTGTGTGTGTTTGCAGTGCTGATGCTAAACTCCTGGAGGAGGCTGTCGTCCCGCTGGCCAAGACTCTGAGTATGTGTGTGTTTCTATGAGTGATTTACTGCCGTTTCATTATAGTCCAGACACGCACTGATTTCAGAGCCTCTATCTTGTGAAATAAAGCTCTGTAATTGCAGGCGCATGAAGCCACAGCATTCAGACTGATACCGATCACATGTCAGCTTTGCTTTTATCACGGACTGTGTATAATTTATAGAGTTTATTGATCCATTTTTTTTTAACAACTAAATCACAGGGATCTTAAATGTGTTGAGTTGATCTGGTTTAGTAGCACGTACAGTTACATGAACAGCCTTAAGTTGGTATGGGAATGATGTTTTGTGTTTTTGATCATCTTCATAGTTGAGAATAACCCCAGGTCCGGGAACTTCGGGGCGTTGGTGAGAGTTTTTCTCAGCAGAACCAAAGAGCTGAAGATTTCCACAGAATGCCAAGAGTAAGTCAGAAACCTCTACATTGAGGTGTGCTTATTTCTATGGCTTTTAATGTGTTTTTTGTGTCATCTGTTATTGAACTATGAACACTGTAAAAATATTTGTTAGTGAACAGATTCTGTATTTAAAATTATTTTTACTGTTTTTTCTGTATTGTCAATAACATTATATATATATACTCGCCTGTCACTTTATTAGGTACACCTTACTAGTACTGGGTTCGACCCACTTTTGCCTTCAGAACTGCTTTAATCCTTCGTTTCATAGATTCAACAAGGTGCTGGAAATATTCCTCTAGAGATTTTGCTCCATATTGACATGATATGGCATTGATTTGTCGACTGCACATCTATGATGTGAATCTCCCGTTCCACTACATCCCAAAGGTGCTCTATTGAATTGAGATCTGGTGACTGTGGAGGCCATTTGAGTACAATGAACTCATTGTCATGTTCAGGTAAACCAGTCTGAGATGATTAACGCTTTATGACACAGCATGTTATCCTGCTGGAAGTAGCCATCAGAAGATGTGTACACTGTGGTCATAAAGGGATGGACTTGGTCAGCAACAATACTCAGGCAGGCTGTGGCGTTGACACGATGCTCAATTGGTACTAATGGACCCAAAGTGTGCCAAGAAAATATCCCCCACACCATTACACCACCACCACCAGCCTGAACCTTTGATACAAGGAAGGTAAATTCATGCTCTTATGTTGTTGACATCGAATTCTGACCCGACCATCTGAATGTGGCAGCAGAAATGGAGACTCATCAGAGCAGGCAACATTTCTCCAATCTTCTATTGTCCAGTTTTGGTGAGCCTGCGTGAATTTTAGCCTCAGTTTCCTGTTCTGAGCTGACTGGAGCGGCACCCGGTGTGCTCTTCTGCTGCTGTAGCCCATCTGCCTCAAGGTTGGTCATGTTGTGTGTTCAGAGATGCTCTTCTGCAGAGCTCGGTTGTAGCAAGGGCTTATTTGAGTGACTGTTGCCTTTCTATCAGCTGGAACCAGTGTGGCCATTCTCCTCTGAACTCTGGCATCAACAAGGCATTTGCGCCCACAGAACTGCTGCTCACTAGATATTTCCTCTTATTCAGACCATTCTCTGTAAACCCTAGAGATGGTTTTTGTAAAAATCCCCAAAAATCCTCATTCTGATGCTTGGTTTAAACTGCAGCAGATCGTCTTGACCATGTCTACATGCCTAAATGCATTGAGTTGCTGCCATGTGACTGGCTGATTAGAAATGTGCATTAACGAGCAATTGGACAGGTATACCTAATAAAGTGGCCGGTGAGTGTATATACAGTGATCAGCATATAAGTAAACCCCTCACAAATCTGTTTTCTATAGGATGTTTTATAATATTATATTTGTACATATACTAATCTAATGAAATAACTTATGATAATAGTCCAAAAATTAGTAGCCCAAATGTATATGTGAGGGAAAAATATTAAATAACAACTTTAAAAATGTTCTCCCTGCGTTCGCGTGGGTTTCCTCCGGGTGCTCCGGTTTCCCCCACAGTCCAAAGACCTGCGGTACAGGTAAATTATGTAGGCTAAATTGTCCGTAGTGTAGGAGTGTGAATGTGTGAATGTGTATGGATGTTTCCCAGAGATGGTTTACAGCTGGCAGGGCATCCGCTGCGTGAAACTTGCTGGATAAGTTGGCGGTTCATTCCGCTGTGGCGACCCCGGATTAATAAAAAAGGGACTAAGCCGAAAATAAAATCAATGAATGAAAATAAATGAAATTGTTGGAATTTTGTAGTTAGTAATTTGTTTTTGGAATATTTTGCATTCACTTAAATATATTATATTTCTATTTCTAAAGATGTTTGGTGACTAAAATATTATTTTAATAGATATATCCCTTTAATAAATCTGTTTTGTTCTAATGCACTAAAATATATGACCTATGTTCACTGAGAGTTGGTCAAAAATATTATTTATTTATTATTTATGCAGTATTTTAATTAGCAACAATTACATTTAAGCTTAATGAGTCTTGTGTGTTTAAGTTTCTATTTTAATATGATAATAAATGTAAATGAATGTCCCAGTTCTCAGATCCTGAGATTTTATTTTTCAGAATTCTTAAAATATCTTTTCCCACACAGGCTTTTCCCAACATTATTTCACTAATCGCTTCGGACGATTTAATAAGATGTTTCTGATATGATTTTCCCATGGGAATAGCAGCGTCTCACACATCTGATGTTTGTGCTGAAAGTGTTGCTGAAGCATAAATCCAGATGAGGGAGTGACTGAAGCACAGATTTATGAGAACAGATACAGCCTCAGCTGATGTGACTGCTGCACACGTTTATCATTACAGCAACCCATAATCATACAGTCACCACTTCTGCGTCTGACAGCATGTGTGTGTACTTGTTTATGTGGTTTACGAGGACACAAAATTGTATAGTGACATGGATATGACCTCTATTAGGGTGGTAAATGAGGACTTGCTTTGTGTCCTCAAAATTAAAGAAACAAAAATGCTTTAAAATCATACTCAACAGGATTTTGACATTCAAATTTTTCCTTTGAGGGTCGGGCTTAAGGGGAAGGCCATATAATAATAATAATAATTTTTACATAAAATAATATTGTAAATATTGTAAAAAAGCTGAAATCGCAAAATACAGTTTTATACTGGGCGACCCAGTGGTTAGCACTGTCACCTCAGAGTAAGAAGGTCACTGGTTCAAGTCCCGGCTGGGTCAGTTGGCATTTCTGTGTGAAGTTTGCATGTTCTCCCCGTGTTAGCATGGGTTTCCTCCGGGTGCTCCAACACAATCCAAACACATGCACTATAGGTGAATTAAATGAACTAAATTGGCTGTAGTGCATGAGAGTGTATGGGGGTTTCCCAGTACTGGTTTGCCGCTGACAGGGTGAAGCTGCAGTTCACAGTCAGTAATCATCTTTCTCCCTCTCTTTCTGTTTCTCTCTGTAGTCAGTTGTTCATCTGGCAGGCCCATAATGCTCTGTTCCTGGTGCGCTGTTTGCTGAAGGTCTTCATCAGGGAGATGAGTGAAGAAGAGCTGCATCTACAGTTCTCCTACCAGGAGAGGGCGCCGGGAACATATGGTATGACACACTCATTCAACGCTTACACTGGATTCATGTCCACTTTTTGAGCTCGGTTATGTGGCCCTCATATATAGAGCAAGATTTTTGGTAACACTTTAGTTTAAGCAGCAATTCTCTCTATTAATTATTGGCTTATTATAAGGATATTGGCTGTTTATTAGTACCTCTAAAGCACATATTCTGCATGATTTTATTCTACATTCCTAATTATACCCAATACTTTAACCCAACCTTAATAACTATTAACAAGCAGCAAGTTAGGAGTTGATTGAGCTAAAAGTCATAGATAATGGTTCGTTAATACACAGAATTGTACTTTAAAATAAAATAAAGCGTGACCAGATTTATACCTTGTTAGCAAATTGTAAACAGAACAGATTTAATTGTTGTTTTTTATAATAGAAAATAAGATAATCAACATATTTTAGATGATAAACATATCATCTCCTAGTGTAATATTTTACATCAGTGGTTTTCAAACTGTGGTATGTGTAACACTAGTGGTAGGCGGGGTTACTTCTAGTGGTGCACGGAGGAATCGCTGGGTAATGAAAAAAATAAGAGAAAAGTGAATACAATTTTAATCATTTGATGCGTACGATAATGCCGATGTGATCAGTATTGGCTGTTCTCTAAAGCCTGTTATCAAAGCACTGTGCTTAAAATGTTTATTTTCCCTCATCCACACTGAGACGGAGCAGCTGCGTTTTAGAATGAAAACAGCCTCTCCAGCGTTTCCAAAACGCTCCGTTTTCGGCGCTCGTGTGCCGTAGTGTGGACGGATGGTGTAACCGTAGCAAAACTTTTGCGTTTTCAAACTAAAACGCATTAGTGTAAATGGCACCTTAGCTTTTCAAAATGCTGCACTGTGAGTCACGTGACAAGAACCGACCAATCAACTTCATATTTTATGTGGAATATTATTTCGGTAGACTACTTATCTCAGACAAACATAGAACACCCAAACTTCAGTGCTTTTTAATTTTCTCCATGAATAAAACTTGTATCAGAGCTGCGGCAATGTTTTGACATCCTCTGAGGAAAAACGGGTTCCCTACCAATCTACATACAAGTCAGTGTTTAGATTTCAAAAGGTTTTACAAATATGTCATATGCACATGCACAATATATTTCAAAATTTATCAAAAATGGTATAAGTATGAATATGAATAGAGACTATTTTTTCTGAGGTGGTACTTTGTGAAAAAAGTTTGAGAAACACTGTTTTAGATAATAAACATCTAACATGACCTAAAAAAATCATTATACTGCATGCACACTTTTATAGCATTCATTCATTTTCCTTCGACTTAGCCCCTGATTTATCAGGGGTTGCCACAGCAGAATGAACCGCCAACTATTCCAGCAAATGTTCTATGCATCGGATGCCCTTCCAGCCGCGACCCAGTACTGGGAAACACCCGTACACACTCACATTCACACACACACTCATACCCTATGGCAAATTTAGTTATTCTAATTCACCTATAGTCCATGTTTTAGGATTTTGGGGGAAACCGGAGGACCCGGAGAAAATATATCCCAAAATCTGACTTTTATGTAAAGACATAAATACTCCAGACTAGTCCTTACATTATCTGTGTGAAATAATACATCATTTGTCTCTGTTTTGCTCATTTATTTTAGGGTATAGGCTACATTTTTTGTGTATAGAGCAGATTTATTTATTTACTTACTTATTTATTTGTTGTATTTATATCCTATGATTTATGCATTTTAGTCTTTTTCTTTTCTGGTTGGTAATTTGGGTTGTCAAAATAATTTTCATCATTTTACCAAGGAAATATTTCTAAAAACAAAGTATGACATTTTTATTTATTAATTGAAGCGTTATTTCAATAATAGCCTTTCTGTGCTCTCTCTCTAGTGTAGTTCTTATTAATAATGGTTAAAAGACAAAAATAAAAGTGTTTTTGAGCACTTGCTAAACTCAAATTCTGTAAACAGTAAACACCAAAAGGACTGTCTGGATCTCTGGCTTTGGTCCATCTGTCTGTGCGTCCAGACAGTTTCTCAGTCGCTCAATGTGTCACAACCTTCAGCCAAATGCTCCCGCATATTAGCACAAATGTCATCTCTGACCAGTCACTGTGATCATTATACAACTTCACTGACCTCAAGAAACTTCCTTCAGACTACACTAACTATATTCATCCACCACATATTTAAATGTGCATTTTAGAATATTGGAAAAACTTAATCTTAATGGAAACACCAAGATGTGGCAACATTTATGAAATGCATTTAAAAAGCTTCTGCACACTGCAGGAAAAACATTTTACCTGATAAGAAACTACCATGGAAACACAGTTACCGAATAAATACCAGCATGCGCATCAAAAAAGTCATGTGATCTGTTTTTAACAGATTATGTGATAATAAAAATGGTTTTAATGAGACAGCACATAATAATGCACAAACCAGTGTTTTGTAGTGTTAGCGATATACGAAATTTTCAGATTGTCATATCGTCGGATCGCATATTCATTTTAGACTGTAGGCCTACATATAAAACTTTTCCCTGAGCTCAGTCAAATGTTCTTTGATTAGTTATTAATAGTCTGTTCAACAGTTCAATAAAGCCAAAACGAATGTTAAAATGCAGGCTGTAATTTAATTCAATGTATATAAGCTAGTTTAAATAAACAAATAAAATATAAATTTATAGCCTGTAAATAAGTATAGGCCTAACATTTTGTAATTAAATAAATAGGATATTTTCTAAACAAATGTGTTTATCATTTCATAGAATTAAACACAAATAAGACACATATATTCCATGTTTTTAAAGAAGCAGTCAATGCATGCACTCAAAAAATAGGCTGTAGGCCATCTTAAAACTTAAATAGGCTTTTAATAATGGATATAAATGAAAAGTAAATAACTGAAAGCAAGAGAGAATCTTGCAGGAGTGCTCTCTCAAATGACCAATGATTGTGTATTACCGCAACACATCAGCTCTTATTCATTCATTCATTCATTTTCTTGTCGGCTTAGTCCCTTTATAAATCCGGGGTTGCCACAGCGGAATGAACCGCTAACTTATCCAGCAAGTTTTACGCAGCGGATGCCCTTCCAGCCGCAACCCATCTCTGGGAAACATCCACACACACATTCACACACACACTTATACACTACGGACAATTTAGCCTACCCAATTCACCTGTACCGCATGTCTTTGGACTGTGGGGGAAACCAGAGCACCCGGAGGAAACCCACGCGAAGGCAGGGAGAACATGCAAACTCCACACAGAAACGCCAACTGAGCCGAGGTTCGAACCAGCGACCTTCTTGCTGTGAGGCGACAGCACTACCTACTGCGCCACTCCCTCGCCCCACATCAGCTCTTAGTTCTTTCATTTTCTTTTTCGTTTGTTTCATTTTTACAAATAATTTTATTTAACTTCTTTTTAATTAAATCCATTTTGTTATTTAGCCTATTATTTTCATGCAACAAAGTTGCAAATTAATTTGTTGTGACATGCCCTGTGTAGTGCCCTCACGTGCAGCGCATGTCAACTGCTGCTGAGAGAGAGAGAGAGTGACAGAGCGAGAGCATCAGTCAAGTGATGTTGATGCAAACACCTGAAGCTGTCAAATTATTTGTGGTTAATTTAATAATAATGATGAAGATTAAAAATAATAATACTATTAATTTTATTCAATACTGTAAGTAAAACATGTAATGGGTCTACATTGATGCGAAACGAGCTAAATATGCTCTTAAAATTGTCATAAGTCTCAGCTCTCTGCAATATCTTTGCCTATAGTCGATACACGATACGATCCTAATGTTTTGAGCACATTCTGGTGTCTTGGTCTTTCTAAAACTCCTCAGCCAAAGTCTGTCATCACAGTGGTTCAGTATTACTATTATTACTATAATAATACCTCCAGAACTGTCTTGAGCATCTGTCTGCATTCACAAAAAGCGTCTCACGTCTGCAAAAGTTCATTGCATTTAGTTTTCTGAGGTGCAAATAATTTATTAGAGAAAAAAAGACTACAGTGGCTTTTTCTGTAGGATATTTACCACCAGTTGATCAGGAAATGACTATTTTGTTCTCTTTGACTTATTGTATAGAAACAGCACTTTATTCACAGATGTTTTATGTGTATTGCAGTTAAATGCACATCAATTTAGTTAATATTTTTGGCTGGAAACGTAGCTAGTGACATCATCATTTTTTTTATTTGATGTGTGTTTTCAGACTCCATCAGCGAGGATCTTCTGGAGGAGCTAGTCTGTAATTTGGTGCATCTCATCGTAGAAGTACCGCTTCTGTGAGTACAGCAGAAGAAGAAGAAATGTGTGTGTGTGTGTTTTGTTCTGGATTTCTGCTAAATGATGATCAGTGTGAGAGTGTGTTATTGTCGTGATATGTGATGTGTCTTTCACACACAGTGTGTGAAGGTCAATTCTGACTCAAACAATGAGGTGTCGCTGTCATTATTTACACGAAAATACTTTCCTAAACTTTTTCCAAATGAAGTTCAAGTAGGATTAGCATAATTAGTCATGCCACCAGATGCATTTTCAAAGTCAAATGACGTTTATACATAATTTTAGTCCATACAGCACCTACATACTAATAAAGAGGAAAAGAAAAAGAATCCATAGAGAAAAAGAAACAAGACAATAACAGAATAAATAATGCAAAGGCATTAAATATGACACCCAAATCTCTAAAAGGACAATATTGTCATTATTGGACTGCAGTCAGTTCACTGTTGATTCAGTTTAGTTCAATAAGCATCAGGGTTAAATATCATTCGGCAGTGAAACTAATGCCAAGTTCAGACTGTACAATTTTCAAATTAGTCGCCTCACAGATGTTTTCATACTGCATTACTATCTGGGCTAGTGTTCTGTCTGTGCTGTGTTTACACTGCAAGATGGATCGGCGACTGGAGGTTTCACACTGCATGACTTTACAATAGGAGAATTGCCAACAACTCGATCCACAACTTGCGTCTCACAACCAAACACAAAGCGTAGTATATCTTTTGTTGTTAACTACATAATAAGAAGCCTTTAGTGGGGTAGAAAATTGACTTATTTTTCTCACCTGGCTTTTAAAGGGAATTGGCATTTTCTCTTCAACTTTTTCTTTTTGACCCAGTTGTGGTATTGTTCAGATGACACGTCAAACAGACAAGGGTGCTCCTGCCAAACACACGCTAGTTTTTTCTTAATTTCTTGGGTCCAAATACACCAAAACAAGCCCTTTTAACTTCTCCAACCTCCCAACATCCTTATCTGCGATTATGCTAATTATGCTAATTTTATTAAATATGAGACCCAAATCTCTAAAAGGACAATATTGTCATTATTGGACTGCAGTCAGTTCACTGTTGATTCAGTTTAGTTCAATAAGCATCAGGGTTAAATATCATTCGGCAGTGAAACTAATGCCAAGTTCAGACTGCACTATTTTCAAAGTAGTCGCATCACAGATGTTTTCATACTGCATTACTATCTGGGCTAGTGTTCTGTCTGTGCTGTGTTTACACTGCAAGATGGATTGGCGACTGGGGGTTTCACACTGCATGATTTTACAATAGGAGAATTGCCAACAACTTTGTCTCGATCCACAACTTGCGTCTCACAACCAAACACAAAAATATGTCACGTAGTATATCTTTTGTTGCAAACTACAGAATGAGAAAGAAGCCTTTAGTGAAAATGTACTTATTTTTATCACCTGGCTTTTGAAGAGAATTGGCAATTTCTCTTCAACTTTTTTTCTTTTTGACCCAGGTATTGTTCAGATGACATGTCAAACAGACAAGGGTGCTCCTGCCAAACTTACGCTAGTTTTTTCTTAATTTCTTGGGTCCAAATACACCAAAACAAGCCCTTTTAACTTCTGCAATCTCCCAACATCCTCATCTGTGATTCTCTCAGATCACATGTTTGATGGTTCACACTGTGTGATTGTTACTTACGTTAACGAGCATCGATTTGCCTGTGATTTTAGGCATTTGTCATTGATTTTTCAAAACCGGTCGAGTCAAAATCAGATCTACAATCATGAAGTCTAAACTCAGTATAATTTGAGGTCCCATTTTATATTAAGTGTCCCTAACTACTATGTACTTACATCAAAAAAATAAATACGATGTACTTACTGTGTTCATAATGTATTTGAGAACACTTGTGGTGCTCTTGAGTTGGGATAGAGGTTGGGTTATGGACAGGTTTGGTGGTGTGGGTAGGTTTAGGGGTGGGTTAAGGTGTAAGGGATGGTCAACAGTGTATTTACAAATGTAATTACAAAAGTTAATTACAGATGTAATTACATACATGTATTTAATCAAGCATAAGTACACAGTAAATACATGTATTTACACAATTTGTACATTGTAACAAACTATTAGTTCCTATGTAAGTACATATTAGTTAAGGCCACTTAATATTAGTTGGGAGAGAGGTTGGGTTATGGACAGGTTTGGTGGTGTGGGTAGGTTTAAAGGTGGGTTAAGGTGTAAGGGAAGTTAGTCGAGGTTAGCTTTTTAAAGTGTCTCTATTATTCTTTGTCATATATTGACTTTCATGTAGTGTGTAATATAGCTGGGAATTTAAACATCTGCTAAATTATTGTCTCGCCCACAAAAGAAACATCTCTAAACTACTTAACATAATTAGTCGTTCCACTAGATGCATTTTCAAAGTCAGGTTGCGTTTATACACCATTTTAATTAATAAAGCACCAACATAATAATCAAATGAAAACCAACAGAATACATGCAGACATTTTTTTAACCAGGCCATTAGAAAGAACCTTTAGTCCTATAAGTCTGAAATTTGATTCATTTTGTTTGATGTCCATCACCACTGTAGCACAGTACTGTAGCCTATATACAATTATTAAATGAAAAAGTTAATTATAATGGCTTTCATAGGGCTAGCAGGCTATGAGATTGTGTTTTGGCAAAGAAAATTGACAGCAAATCATTTAAACACCTATATTCAGATAGCAGCAAATATTTAACAGAACATGATTAACACACACAAATAGTGTGAACATAGCCTAGGAGAAAAGAGCTGATGCTTCCTTGAATATTAGGAGAAAATTAAAGTTATTTTTGTTGTCATGAATGCACATGAACATATTCCAGAAGGCTCCAAAACCGAAAACAGAAACATTTAAAACAGCGTACCAGAGGCTCTTTAAATGCATTTTTTACATGCACTCTTTCATGTTTAAAACTCCCCGAGCGCCGTGTATCCCATCAGCCCTCTGTGTGACCCGCTGTCATTTACACACCTGAGTGGAGGACACCTTCATGCATGAAGCCATAATTTATTGAGTGACGCTTCCACACACACACACACACACACACACACACACACACACACACACCCAGCAGCTCTGCATTATTCAGCTCTCCTTCTGTGTGTTTCCACATTTTTATGTATTTTAGGGCAGATTGATTTAGCAGCTCTCATGAATGTTGATCTGTTCGTCATGTCCTAGAGTGTTGTTGTAGTCCACCCAGTTTATAAAGAGAACCGAATGAAATCCAGATGAGATGAAAATGATGATGGCGTGTGAGTGTGTGTATCTCACTGCTTAGTTCTTAAATTTCCCCTATTTACTTATTTATTTTATTTATTATTATTTTTTATGCTTAGTGCAGATGTCATTGTTTATACAAATCATAGATAATGCTTTATTAATAGTCAAAATTGTACCATAAAATAAAAGGTGACCAATGGTAGATTATAAGATTTTGGTTTAACTTGACTTTAATAACTTTGTATACAAAAATTTGTAATTAAATGAGAGGAAAACTTCTTTAAAAACCTATAACTTTTATTATTTTCATCTGTTGTTTTACGTAGTTTTATGTATTTGCTTATTCTGTTATTCTGAAGAGTAGCTGTGGTAGCAGGCGCGGCACTAAATTATAAACAGCCATGCATTTATAATTTATCGCATTGTTTTCCTTTGAATTTTTGGGTGAAATATGACCTGAATATTTTTTATGAGATCGGCACCAATATAATTATTTATTTAACATTTGGGTTTGTTATGATATTGCTGTCACAATGTTTAGTGGCAGAAATCACTTTAGAAATTAATAAAAATTGAGTAATATACAGTATAGTTTTTAGATGCAATCTATATTTGCATACAGATGTTGTTAAATAAATAGCCTGAGCTTATACATTTACATTTTACATGTACATTTAATAATTTAGCTGATGCGTTTGTCCAAAGCCAATTACAACTGAGGAAGCATTCAGCAATTCAACAAGTGGCAATACAGACAACAAGTGCTAATTATACAAAGAAACTGTTAGAGCTTAGAGAACTAAGTGCTAAAGTTAGTAGAGGGAGTGTTTTTATATATAGAGAAAAGTGTTTCTACGGGTGGTTTGTCAAACCCACTCACCAGTGTGAGGCACACTTTATAAATGCACAGGTTTTTTATATAGATATGCAGTGATTGTAAGAACGTGTTTGGTGCAAATTTGCGAAACTGGTGCAAGTGTTGTGTAAAAATGACAGCACAGCTTGAAATTGCAATCATTTGGTTGCATTTGCACTCAATTTCATCTAGTTGGTGATTATTGATCCGCCAGCCAAGATCAGTCGAGTGTTTTTAGAGAAAGTAGCCCCTTTCACACATACAGACCTTTCCGGAAAATTACCGGCAATTTTCCGGAAAGGTTGTATGTGTGAACAGGTCCTTTTTGAAAATACCGGTAAATTTGTTCTGGCTATTTTCCGGAAAGAGAAGTTGTAACATTACCGGTAATTTGCCGGAATGCTGCGCTGTGGGAATGCAGAAGTAAGATTGCCGGAAAGAGCGCGTGCATGTCTAGAACGTGCTGACGTGAGACGTCTGCTTTAGCCAATCAGAACAGTCAGACGCGTTTACGTCCACGCGGTTTATGAGAATATTTTCCCAGACGCGTTTAGCTGCTAGAAGTTAGTCAGATAATGTTTAAATGTTCTTCTTAATGCCAACTGTGTAAATAATCATCGATAAGATGCTTATGTTAAGCCGCTGTTACTTCAAGCTTTGCGTGTGCCTGTGAAACAGCCTGTGAGCCCCAGTACACACACATATCATGAACATCTCGACATGCGAAAGTGTTTCTCTATATCTTTTCATCGAAATTGTTCACAATACTGATCATCCACAGAGTTTGTAATGTAGTCAAATGTTTACAATTACAAGCGCAGCCGTTTAAGGGTCATTTGTGGTAAATGATGTCAGAATTTACCGGTATTTTGGAATGGATGTGTGAACGGTCTTTTCTGGAAAAT